GAGGCCATGTTGTGCCCTCCCTCCACCAAGGAGCCTGTGTGCTAGGCTAGACTCTGCTAGGAGGCAAAGCAGAAGATCTCTCACCTGATCTGTTCTTTCCCTGTCTTCTTGGACTTGATTTTCTTCCCAGGTTTGATAGAAAAAGGGGCAACCCCAAGTCCAAAGCTTTGTCCATCAGGCTCACCTACTAGATGACCTTCTGCATCCATAAGCCCTGCCTGGACAGAGAGGTCAGGACAAGGGGTATGGGTTATATTAGAGGTTTGGGCCTCTCAGGATGCAAATGTTCATGGCCCAAAACTTGGGGGTGAGCATGTTTTCCATACACACCAAGATTTGGCTGCTGCCGCCAGCTGCAGGCAGTCCTTAGTAGAGCTGTCCCTGAAACCTAGAAAATTAATGTCTACTCACCCACCCCTTTTTTTTAAAACAGGGTTTCTCTTGTGTTGCAGCTCTGTCTGTCTTGGAACTTGCTCTGTAGATGGAGCTATAGACCAAATCTGTAGATCATATCTTGAACTTACAGAAATCTGCCTATCTCTGCCTTCTGAGTAAAGGTGTGTGCCACCATCACCAAATACTCTCTAAGGATCTTAAGACCTAGTTCCAACCTGGTTCCAAACATTGACTATATATTATATATATTATATATATATTAGCTATATGTTTTAATTTATGGATATCATCCTTAATGCAAAAGTGGTATACCATTTTTTTTTTCTGTGTATACATATAAGTGGGTGTGGAGACCAGAAGTCAACCTTGAGTGCTATTATTGCTGGGTCTCTCATTGGTCTGGAACTCACAAACTATGCCAGGCTGGCTGGCCAGCAAGTCCAGGGATCTGTCTCTCTACACCTTCCCAGCGCCTGAACATCAAGCCTGCCCCACCATGGCCAGCACGTCAAGCCTGCCCCACCATGGCGAGCACGTCAAGCATGCTCCACCATGGTGAGCATGTCAAGCATGCACCACCATGGCGAGCACGTCAAGCCTGCACCACCATGGAGATTGAACTGAAGGCCTCATGATTGTGCAACAACCCCTTTACTGACTGAACTGCCTCCTCAGCCCCTAAGGTGGTTTACTCTTGCGCGGGGCACTCTATGTTTATCCTGGAGTTATCTTGGTCTGGGAACTATTAGCTCTGGTTTGATGTATGACACTTGCAGTTTCTACGAAAGTCTGACCAAAGATGGGAAGTCCAGGGTGAGTGCTGTTAGCAAGAAGCAACTGTGCTTACCTTCTGGACGGCAGAAATGGCTGCAAAGTCATTCTTGTCTATGAGAGTGTACTTCCTGCGCAAGGCAGCCTCCACTTCTTGTTCCTGTTGGCTTGGGAGAGAGAGTGAAACAACACTTGTAATGGGACCATGCTGAGTCCACTGGGCTAAGACCCAAATATCTGATCAAAACTTTGTTAGGTAAAGCCCTGGATCCACAGCTTCATCATAAGCCAAAAGACAATGCCAACCAAAGGGCTCATCCCTCTCACAGTGTGCACCCCCCCCATCGTCCAGTCCCCCATCTATACAGCCACATTACATGCTGGTATATCAGCTCTAAGATAATAACACCTGTAATGTTTAATAATGTCTGTAAGCCTGCATGAGAACTGTGCTGTCACCTAGGTTCATTCTAACAGGATCCACGAGGTCAAATGACCAGTCTGATGCCAACCAGTATGAGCTTCTCAGGCAATGGGTAGGTCTGCACCCAAATAAAGTAAGTGCTCCTTAGGGTAGCGGATATGGAAGATGATCCGTGAGGCCCAGCTCTGGGCACAGTCATAGCTGGCACTCCAGAGAGTTCCTGTCCAATTAATGAACTTAGAAAACATTCCCCAGGGACCTGGGCACGCCTTAAACACTCAGATCTGGTTCCTCATGTAGCACAACAGAGAATGTTCTACACACACACACACACACACACCTACATACACAAGGGTTTTCTTGAAGGCCAGGGCCCAGGCCATGGAAAATGAAGAAAACGAGGCATGGCTGGGAGACTCACCTCAGAACCACCTTGAACTGGTTGAATACCTCCTGGATCTGTCTTAGATTGATTATCTGGCAGGAGGAGAGCGAAGCCAAGTTTAGACAATGGAACCTAGGAGCTAGGCTGTGTCTAAGCAGAGAAATCAGGAGCCCTTGGCTGACTCAGGACAGTGTCATTCTGTGTAGAAGCCTCTCAGCGGACACTGGAGAGAGGGCTCAGCAGTTAAGAGCATCTGCTTCCCTTGCAGATGACACCCTTGGTTCCCAACACCCACATCAGACAGCTGACAACTCTTTAGCTCCAGTTCCAGGGGATATGGTACCCTCTTTCAGCCTCCATAGGTACTGCATGCAAATATTCAAACCCACATTCAGATACACATATATGCACATAATAATTAAAAGTAAAAGAATATCTTTTTTTAAAAAAGTCTCTCAGCAAAGTATTAATATCACTCCCAAGAGCAGAGATAGATACACTTGATTAATAGTTTGTTGTTGTTGTTGTTTGTCTGTTTTGAGACAGGGTTTCATATATAAGGCTGTCCTGGAACTTGCTGTATACCTGAGGATGTCCCTGAAGTTCTGATCCTCCTGACTCCACTTTGCAAGTGCTGGGATTACAGGCATATGCCACTAGGCCCTGTGCATGTGATGCTGGGGATGCAAACCCAGGACTTCCTTCACAATAGGCAAGCACTCCACTGACTGAGCCACATCCCTAATCCCTGATTAATAGTTTTAAAATTAAGTACTTGTTGAGCCTTTATTTTTTTTTTTAAAGATTTTATTTATTATGTATACAGTCTTGTGCCTGC